TATAATCATATTTTATTAAAAAAAAAGTTTTGAAAAGTGTCCTTATAAACCCACTTTGTTAATCAAAACCAATATAAAAGATAAAATTTTGATGAACTCATTTTTACTAGGAAAGATAAGTCTATGTTTGTTGAATTAAAAAAAAAATCCATGATGGTTAAATTTGATGTGATTGATTTGAAAAAAATAAAGCATTTTTTTAGAGTTGAAGTGATGCAAAAGACTGATGACATTTTCATTAGTTTGAAAAAGTATGTAATGGAAGTGTTAAAGAGGTTTGGAATACACAAAAACAATCTAATTCATAATCCAATTATTTCAAGATAAAAGCTTTTAAGAGATGAAAATGATGAGAAAATTGATAATATTTATTGTAAATAGATAGTATGAAGCCTTTTGTATTGACTGCTACATGGCCAAATATTATGTTTGTTGTCAGTCCTATTGCTAATACATGGAACATCTTACAACAATGCATTTACATGTAACAAGAAAGATTTTAAGGTATTTAAATGAGACAATTAATTATGAAGTGTTCTACAAAAAAAGAGGAAACAAAGAAATTGTTGTATATATAAATAATAACCATGCAGGAAACTTGGATAATAAGAAAATTACTTCAGGATATCTAAGTTTGTTGAGAAGGATTTTAAAGAAGTTTGGTTATACACATAGCAATTCTATAATTGATTATTATGAGAATAACTTAACAATTAAACTTGTTAAGAATCATGTGATTCATGCATGCATCAAACACATTAATATGTGTTTTCATTTTCTTCATTTCTTTATGAACTTGTAAAAAATAAAACAATACAATTAGTTCACTATAGTACTTAAGTACTCAGGATCAAGTTGCATATATAATGACAAAGCCTTTAAAACTTGATATATTTGTAAAACTATGCAAATAAATAAGAGTGTGTTCATTGATGGATGTAAATTGATTGTTAAAAAATCATTTTAAGATAGGATATTAAAAGTAGTAGCATTATATTTTAAGTTGTATAGTTAGGATGTGTTTAAGAAATCTTTATTTTTAAGAGATGGTTTGTTATTTATTTTTTTGTTCTTTAACTTGTTTATCACATACTTAAGAAGTTGTTGTGTCAACTATATCTTTTTCAAATTCTTGTTTTTGTAAAAACTATTTAAAAACCAATTCTCGCATTCAACAAATATTTAGAAGTTTTATCTCAAACACTTAAATTTCTAATATTAGTTACAATCATTAGACAACTAGAAAATTATTTTATGAAAGGCTATGTTCTTTGATTTATTCCTAGAGTATGAATGCCTTTGTTTTATAGCAATAACATTCATTTGCTTTTGTCTATTCATTAAGTAAACTATTATAAAATTTATATTATAATTGGAAATGAATGATACGATTTATTTATAAGAACTTAATTTTTAATTGTGTTAGAATCATATAGGTTCAGTCAAGATTTAGAAGGTATTTGAAAGTGTAATTATGATTATTTTTTAAAATATTGTTTGTTAAAAAATATATCAAAATACTATTTTTTAAAATTTATTTTTAATATCAATATATTAAAATGATCTAAAAGACTAAAAAAATAATAATTTTAAAAAATTAAAATTTAGCAAATCTTTATTTTTAATGCAGATCTTAATGGAGACTAATCTATTGAAAGCTACTTATTAGCAACTTTATTGGAAGGCAAAAAGATTTTTTTTGTGGTATTAAATTCATATTTCATAAGTAGAGGCATTAATTTGTGGTAGACTAGTAGTTAAAAAATGATTATGACACTACTTTAAAAATTGTACTCCCTCCCTGGCGTGCTAATGGAATAATCCATAAATAATTATTAAAGTGGTATTTTTATACAAGTAGAAGATCGATATGCTTAATAATTACCTCCTAATCTAAGTTCCAAAAGGCATTTGAATTGCATGAAAATTGTCTCAAATTGTTCCATTCCCATCCATTTTATTCTGCATTCTTGGGCCTTGTCTCAAATTGCATGAAAATTTAAAATTTTATTCACTTAAAATCACATATTTTTTTTGGCTGGTTTTGATGCATTAATATTAAAAAGAATTTGTTTTAAAATAAATAAATTATCCTTTTAATATTTTTTAAAATATTTTAAAAAATAACCGATATAATGTTTTCAAAATAAAATATTTTGATGTAATTCATGTCTTTCATTTATGTTTTTGTCAACTTTCAATTAGCTAGCTAGTTCAATGCTTTCGGTAATAATTAATTGGTTAATTATATATATATATATATATATATATATATCATGTTACATAATTGATAGACATTTTAACTTTACCATTTCAAAATTATAGAACCTAGAAATAGAATTCAAGAAGTGAATAGTTCTGAATTAAAACAAATCACTCTTCATGGTATAACATAATCAATATCTCTCATCAAAACTTAATAACAATATCAAATTTAAATAAAAAATAACGTGAGAACATTAATACCACTTATTATAAAAAAATAATATAAAACCTTATGTACTTGAATACCATACAACTAGATGTTATGTTTGTTGTTAGTCTTGTTAGCATATACATTAAACAACCTATAAAGATATATTTACATGTAATAAAAAAGATTTTAAGGTATTTGAAAGGGACAGTTGATTATGAAGTGTTCTATAAAAAGAGAGAAAACAAAAAAAATTATTGTATATACAAATAATTATAATACAGGAGACTTTTTTATTTATTTGAGAAAATCTCACTCTGTAAAAAGTGCATTTTATAGGTTTGGATGAGCGAGTAAAAGTTCAAATATCCCAAACTCTTATAAAAAATATACGCTCTGACTCGAACTTAAGATCTATCTCAAGTTCTTTACCATCACGCAACATCTCTTGAGGACAATATAAGAAATTTGGATAATAAAAAAATCACTTTAGTATATGTATTTCTTTTAAGCTCTAGTATAATATCTTGATTATATAAGAAATAACATGTAGTATCTTTATTTACCATGAAAACTAGGTTTATAGCTGCAGTTGCATGTTCTTGTCAAGCAATTTGACTGAAAAGAATTTTGAAGAAGTTTGGCTGTACATAGAGCAAGTCTACAATTGTTTATTGTAAGAATAACTTAACAATTAAACTTGTCAAAAATCATATGACGCATGGACGCAGCAAAAACATTTATATATGTTTTTATTTTTTCGTGTACTTATAAAAGATAAAGCAATACAATTAGTTTTTTGGCAATACTTTGAAAAGATAAAGCAATACAATTAGTTTTTTTGCAATACTTTGGAACAAGTTGTGGATGTTATAAAAAAACCCTTTGAAACTTAATACTTTTGTAAAGCTTGGCAAACTAATAAAAGTGTGCTTATTGATTGATGTAAATTGCTTGTCAACAGTCATTTTAAGAGAGAATATTAAAAGTAGTAGCATATTTTAAGTTGCGTGGTGGTTAGGATGTGTTTAAAAAGTTTTATTTTTAAGGGATAGTCTATTACATTTTTTTTTTCCCTTGTTTACCACACATTTAGAAAGTTGGTGAAGGGGCTTGTATCTTTCTTGAATTCTAGTTGTTGCAAAAGTTATTTAAAAGCCAATTCTCCTATTCAATAAATATTCAAAAGTTTTATTTCAAACATTTAAAGTCTTAGCATTAGTGACAACCACGGACAACTAGATGATTACTTTATGAAAGGCTAGGTTTGTTTTTTGATTTATTCCTAGAGTATGAATGTCTTTGTTTCATGGCAATAAATATTGAAGAATTTAGATTATAATTGGAAATGCATGGTACGATTTATTTATAACATTTAATTTTTAATTGTGTTGAAATCATGTAGGTTTTAATCAAGATTGAAGGTGTATTTAAAAATGTAATTGTAATTTTTTTAAAAAATATTTTTTATTTAAAAATATATTAAAATAATATTTTTATTAAAAAATTATTTTTAATATCAGCATATTAAAATAATTTTAAAAAAATAAATAAATTTTAGCAAATCCCTATTTGAACTCCAGGACTAAATGAAGGCTAATTTATTGAAAGCTACTTATTAGCAACTTTATTGGAAGGTAAAAAGTTTTTGTTTTTTTTTGGGTAGGAAACTCATATTTCATAAATTGAGGCATTAATTTGTGGTAGACTAAGTAGTTAAAATATGACTATACCTATGATTTTTAACCATTTTTTCATCGTACTCCACAAATTATATAGTCTCTGCATGATCTGGCCTTATTGCTGAAGTCTTCGTGATGATCTAGTCATATACAAGTATTATTGCCGTCACATTACCCAAAATTTATTCGTTTAAATATGACACTGATTATATGCTTTTTTGGGCGGACATTGACCAAAGAAAGGTGTAGATCCTCGGCTTTTTAAGCAAATTAAGGCGCCGGAGAAGGGTTCTTTCCCCCCCCCCATCAAAGCAGCCGTGATTTTCCTCTAGAAAACTGAAATACAAGTTCTCCAAGCATGTTCGGAGACACATTAGAATTTATCCATGCTGTCACATGGGGTGTTCTTTTCCCAGGATTGACTTGACTTGGCTCATGTGAAAACATGGATAATCTTGCTGTCTCTAAACAATGAATGTAGAACTTTTATTTTAATTTTGGCTGGATTATTAAAAAAATATATTGTAATCATCCTCAATAAATAAAAAAATCAAATTACAACGGCTATCACGTTCATGAAGACGCCTAAAGTATTGCTTTCATCAACGCGTATTCCCTATGATCCTTCTAAGGAAATTACATGCAATCCCTTGGAATGAATGGCGACAGAGAAGGACGTATCGTGTCCTAGATCCCCATAGTTCTTACACTGCCCATGGAATCAAGTTGTTGCCTGCAATAAAGTAGTTCGAAATTGAACTTGAAGAAAAGTCTAACACGCTTTGCAGAAGCATTCAAACTCCCTCATCAAACGTAAGAAGAAATGTATTGCCAAGAAATTAATCAGAAGCTTCCATGCTAAACTCAAATTTCCCAATATAGCCATTATTCTGTGAACATATTTTTTTGTACTTAGGGTAATCTTGGAAAACATTGCTCTTGTCGCACCAAAGTTTACGCGTTAAACCAACCACTACTCATTTGCATGTTACTATAAAAAATAATTTGCACGATCATAGCAGTTAACCTCTCTTTCTCTCGCCAAACACAGTGTATCCTTGTGGCTAAAAGGGTTGTGCCCTGTTTGCACCTGAAGAAAGAAAGATAAAGAAGAAGATATATATATTATGGGTGATTGCAAGCCTTTAGGTTTCTTGATTGGGTTACCCTTTGCTCTTGTTGCTTTGGTTTTGTCTCTTGTCGGTGCTGTTATTTGGGTTATTGGGTGAGTACTCTTCTCTTTCTTTCCTATCTGCTTTGCTTCTTTTTTTTTTCATTTTTTGATGAAATTTACTCTGCATTTGCTGTGTAACCCATGCAAATATACATTTGTTATATATAAACCAATCAAGAATGCAAATTCTTGTTAATTTCCTCAACCCCGAAAGAGAAAAAAAGAAGACGAAAGCAAATTCATTTTCCTTTTTATAAGGATTGTACGTTCTTGGTTCTCATTCCCTTAGATATAGTTCATTGTCTTGTGCAGGAAAAAGGAACAGATTAAATTAGTCTGCGAATCTTTTTTATATCAGAAATCACTTTTCTTGCCTCAAGTTTCCATGTTGTTATTACATTTAGACTTCTTCATTTTCCCGATTCTTTAGAACTTGATCTTCATCCCAGTCAGTTTGATATCGTATTTCTTATTTGGAGCATCGTCGATGATCATTGACAAAATGAATAATTTGATGACAGGACTGTGCTGAGCTGCCTCTGCCCTTGTTGCATTTGTTTTTCTGGACTGGCAAATTTTGCAGTGAGCCTCGTGAAGCTTCCCGTGAAGGTCATGAGATGGTTTATTGATCTGATTCCATGTTGATTTCCTTCAGCCATAGCTGGGATATCCCATTCTTTTTTCAGATTTGTTTTGAAGAACAGTGCAGGAGTTTTAATAATTGACAGTAGCTGTAATTAGTGACTTTGCAACAATTCATTATTTTTATTTGTATGTTTAATCAGTGCAGTTTAATGGGGTTGTGGGAAACGGTTGTTGTATACTCAGGGGAGCATGTCGTCCTCTAATCATAGATTTCCATTAATTCTCTTCACCACGTAGATCGTGTAAAGCCCCTCATCTTTTAAATCTCCTTGTTCCATTCCCGTCCATTTTATTCTGCATTCTTGGGCATTGTCTGCATTTCATGAAATTTTAAAATTTTATTTGCTATTTTTTTTATTTGATGGGTTAATATTAAAAATAATGTTTTTAAGAATAAAAAAAATATCATTTTGATATACTTTTTAGAACAATACAATTCAAAAAACAACTATTATAACATTTTCAAATAAACATTAGACAAAAAACAACTATTATAACATTTTCAAACAACATTTTCAAATAAACATTAGCCCTGATGAAATAATTTGGTGTAATTAATGTCAGTTATTTATGTTTTTATGAACTTTCAAAGATTCCTCCCTATTTTAAATTCACAAACTGCTTTGAGGTTTTTTTTTTTTTTTTTAAAAAAAACTTGGGCAGGGGCTGAGGCCCGAGTACCCTTCCCTTGGGCAGTTGGGCTGCCATCGTAGCATGAGACAACTCAGATGATTGCTGGATTTCTAATTTGAGTTGGTGGCCTAATGAACGTTTTCTAATCAAGAGAAGTTGACCTTTCATCTCTAATAAATAATTATTAGAAATATTTTATAGCTCTCCAACTTAATAAGTACTATCAATTAAATGTTAAGATTTTTTAAAAAATTAATTTAAAATTCATTATTTTTATTCTAACAAATAAAATTACTTGTGGATAAAAAAATATATATATATATCATGTTACATAATTGGTAGACTTTTTAACCTAACCATTTCAAAATTTTATTTCAAAATTTCAAAATAAAAATAAAAGTAAAATTTTTTATATGTTTTAAATTGTTTTGATGTGTTAATTTTAAAAATAATTTTTAAAAATAAAAAATAATATTTTAATATATTTTAATATAAAAATATTTTAAAAAATAATCATAACTATATTTTTAAATATATTTATTAAAAAAGAGAGACATAGAAATACAGAAGAAACAAATAAAGATAAAGAGAAAAAGTTGCAAAATAAAACTAGCTTTAAGTATAGTTTGTGATAATCTTATAAAAAAAATAAAAAAATTTAAAAATGTTTGGATGCAGACATGGAAGTCAAATACCACAAAATATATTACCGAATGTTTTGATCTCAAATTAAATTATCTTTGGCTATCTAAAGTGTTTTTTTTTTTTAATTTAGCACAATAACTAAGGAAATTAATAAAATAATACGGTACATAAACAATATAGAAAAATAAAACAATTTGGCCTCATCTATGACTCCAAACAAATCAAAACCCAAGCCCTCATTTCCCATCTATTTCTTTCCCTATTTCTCTTGTACTCCTCTAGTGCCCCTTTCTCCGGCTACAACCCATCATTGTGCACCACCACCATCTCTCTCCGTTCCCCTATCACAAAAGACACCTATAAAACATGACACCACCCCTCTCTTTCTCTACAACGAAGAAGACATCCTCTCTCCTCTCACCTGCGCCTCTTTGTTGGATTTCAGTCGCCACTAACACTGCTATCTCATGTCACCTTCACCCTTCATATTCAATACTTAGAGCTATATTACACACCTTCTCTCTATCAATCTTATAGGTCTGTGTTAATTTCTCATTTTGATCATTTTAGAGTTTAAATTTAGAGTTTTTTATTTAAAAAAATTAGGTTTTGTTAATAAGATTTACATTCTATTAATTAACTATAAAGTACATTAACTTGATTTGTTAATTTTGTTACTTGTGAAGAAAGCCAATGATTTTTTTATTGTTGTTGATTCTAAATTAAGTTTAGGGTTAAGGTTTTATAAATTAAGTTATGAATTTTGCCTAACGAGATATAATATATGTTAATTAGCTATCTAATACAATAATTGAGTTAATCATTACTTATAAAGAGAATCGATGAATTTGAGTTTTTATCAATTATGTTATTATTATGGTTTTTGTAAAATAAATTTTGTTAAAATTATATATTTTGATTAACTCCAAAATTACAGGCTTGAATATATATAAATAGAAAAAACTGCCCAAAGTAAGAAACAAAATGAAAAACAAGTGTCTAAGCTTATGCTTATCAAAATAAGTTACGTATTCTTTTAAAAACTGAAACAAAAACATTTTAATATCATTAAGTTTATCATTAACAAGCATATCAAAAGGCAGTCAACCATCTAAAAGCACTTGGCATGAAAATTAGGTCAAGTTTTAAGCTATAATGCACCTATTTTATTAAACTATTAATTCGAACAAAATATATGTTGGACATGTTCATATCTTGACGTATTCCAAACTAACAAAGAAAGTTACAAAACTCTTTTGAGCTAAACTCCAAAAATAATAAGCTCTTAATTAGAATAAGAACCCAAAGAATTCAAACTATGCTAAAAAAATTAAATTCAAGCTTTGATCACAAGGTAATCATCTTCAATGAAGCTCATGTATTTATAACAATATATATTTAAGCATTTACATAAAAAAAAGATAAGAAACAGGATTGCATATGTTTTAAAAATAAAAACCTCAGCTTACATGACAAGATAAAAACTTAAACAATAAAGGCATCAATTAAAATATAAAATCAAAATGTTAAAGAATTTGATCCATAAAACACATAACCTTACTCTAAATACTTAAAAAAAAGTTATGAGATCTTATATGGATTAAAATCAACTACAAATCTTAAAAGAGTACTTGTTTAAAAATAAAATCATAAAAGATTATGCAATAATACAAATAAAATAATCAAACCTTAATCATAACACTCCACACTTTTAGCACAACTTCATATGTTTTGTTCATATAAATCCATCTAAAGCCACTTATATTCTGAATTTCTATTGCACACCTTAAAAGCTTCTTGAGAGTTGTCAAGCCATTGACAACATTTTTCTTTGTTATAAGTAAACAAGATATCTAGCTAACCTTTTCCAATTATGATTGGGATTCAAAAGTGAAAAAAATCATTTTATCTACTAATAATAAGAAAATTAATATATTACCTAATCATGTGTTTATTGTCACAACCACCTGCGATTCTTATTATAAAGTTTCTTTGGGTTTTTTTTTTTATTGTACCCTTATATTGAATGGTATGCTCATATACAAGATTTTTTTTTTGTTTAAGCTTATACTCAATTTGTTTCCTTTTTGCTATTTTTTATTTAAAAATTTCAAGAAATAAATTATTGATTTATACTATATCAAATAATATTTGTTCCTAATATTATAATTATTGATTTTTTAAATAAGATTTAAAATTATTTTCAAATCTTATTCTACTTTACATAAAAAATTCACAATTAATACTATTTGAGAACAAATAGAATATTTTTTATAATTCATTTAGAGTGATGAATTCTCTATTAATTATTTAAATATCTTCATATAATTTATGCTATACCCAATATTTTTCTGTTTATTACTTTTAATTAGGACAACGTGTTGTATAATCAAAATATAACATTTCATATATAAGATAACTTAATAATTTCAAGTTCAAGTATCATTTATACTCCGTCTTAATAAAGTATTAACCAGTACTCATTTTATAATTTTATTTGCAAAATATTTTTATCTCAATAAATTTATCGATACTAAATTTATTAATCAAATATTAGATTTATTAATCAAGTATTGATGAATATTAAAGATAAATAAACCTTTATTAAAAATTATATATATTTATATGAATAAAGTCAATATCATATACAACTAATTGATTGAATATATGAAATATGCACTAATATATTACAGTGATGTTTGAAAGTTTTATTACGGTTGTTTTTCAAAGTGTTTTTCACTTAGTTTTTTAATTTAAAAAAATCTAAAAACATAAAAAAAATATTAATTTTAAAATATACAATATTTTTGAAAGCTGGGTTGGATTTCAGAAATAAACTACATGAATAATACAAGGTAAATTTCAATGAGGTTTCATCTGCCGTTTCCAAAACGTTTCAATGAACTTCCATTAGTTTTTAATATATTGCAACATCAATCTCAATTAATGTAGGCCTGGTTGTTTTAAATCTAGTATAAATTTTATCTTAAATGTCCTCTCAATTTTATATATATATAAACTATATTATATTTTAATCATTCTCCAAAATTCTCCAATATTTCTTGCAACATCAATCTCCATCAACTAAAGTCAATGAAAGCCTAGTACCCCCATGCGAGAGGCACAATAAAAACAATTCAAGAATTGAATATATTGAAGTACTAGAGAAGAAGAACCATTATTTTTTTAAGAGCTTCAAGGTTGACAATTAATGGCAACAGTGTCACGAGAAATAAGTAGCCTATTGGGGGGGGATCAAATAGTGACAACAACAAGAAAATTGAAAATCACAAAGCGTTTTATAAAGACTTAATTCATAAAAAAAAATGAAAAGCATATGTGATAAAACCTTAGAAATCGATCTGAATAGATTTAGAGGATGAACGAAAAGTCAAAATTGATTGAAGATAGGTGTGAAAGCCAGTGGTCCACATGCAAATAAATAAGAGAAGGCATGAAACACGCATGGTCGCTGATGTGAACAAGGCATGGAGACCATGTTGTGGGTAACCTACTATCAAAATTTTCTTTCTATTATGAGTATTCTTAGTAATTAGAAAATGATAATTAGTTAGTGTCATGAAAAATATACTATACCATAAAAAATAAATTAAAAAATAACTTTTAAATATTTTTTTTAAATTTATTAAAAAAATCAAAATTGATAAATAAAAATGTTAAAGTAAAATAAAAATAAAATTATTAAATCATTTCATACTCAATCAAAAGTATTATCGTTAATTTGAAGACCGTGTTGTGGGTAATCTATTATCAAATATTGTTGATCCTAGACTTGGTTAGTATCTGTTCCCACTTCTATCATTAGTATATATGTATTTTTTCGTCAAAATAAAAGTTCTAAGTTCAAAATTTTCTTTTCACAACTTTTTTTTGTCTGAACTCCTTTTCTATTACGAGTATTCTTAGTAATTATAAAATGATAATTTGTTAGTG